ATACCACGGGATCACCAACGTAATAAACCTGGTTACGTTAGACCTTCGCCTTCTGATTTACTTGGCACGTGTTTCTTGGTAGTGGTGTCCATAGTTAATCTCAACTCGACGCCACGCTACACACTCGTATGGTGGGAGTCTCATGATCAAATAGCCATCGAAGTAACGTTCGGAAAGCAGTATGAAGCAGTTACAATGACGATTTTCTGGTGCTATACCCGGTAATACACAGAAACCTCAATAAAGAAACTCATTCACACATGGTCGATCTGGAGAAAATCTTCTCATAACAAAATAAACCGTATTTAACTTGATCAATCAACCGGAGCACTAGTTGGGATTCTTCCACCTCGCGATTATATATCTGTTTCGTTATTTGGCCTACTAATGCAAATGCAATTGAAAATCAATACATATGAACAACATACCGGTATAGACACTGACTTTCTAATTTGGACCAGAGATAACACTGATATAAACATTTCTACGACATCTATTGTTTTTCCTTATCTAAGAACGAAATACTTTTACTACCCATAAGTTAAGCTATTAACCAGCAGTTATTACTATGCATCTGAATGTGACTTGTTAAAACGCTTCTACGTCAATTCGCTCTTCATTATCATAACACCACTTTGTTTAACTCCCAAATAATATTCAAGTAGATCTTCGTTTTAAACGTACTAAGAATTAAAAGTAAGCCCAGAAAAATACCTCACTCAAAGAAGAGTAATCTATTATTGATAACCATTGATACATAGTGATATTTTATTATCCTTTTCACTCAATTGTGACTTTCATAGCATCACTCTAAATTATAACTGCACAAACATTTATTCTAGTGTCATATCTTACTACAATAATAAATTATTTTTTCTTACTAGTTTAACGATACACACATAGTCGTTTATTCTTGTCCTGTGTTCATAAACACGCCTATTAGACTGTTTGCGTATTTCACGTCTCCTTTATTTCTATTCCCTTATTTTCTCCATTTCCTTCTCTAAACTCAATTCAATATTCTTCTCAATTACATTTTTGAAGAAACCCGAAATGGTTTCTTCACAACACTTATGTACCCATAAGATGTTTGTGAATAATAATAATAATAATAATAATAATAATAATAATAATAATAAGCGTAAAGATTGGTAATGGCAACAGAGAAAGCTCTAAGCATATAAACTTGTTATAGCCTAAAGCCACCAATCAGAAGCAGCGAATTATTGATCGGACCAAGGACGCGTAAAACGTGTGCGAGCAGCCTAGTGTCCTGATTGGTCCTGCTTTCCGCCCAGCCCAGCCAGTTAAGTCCAGAACACCAATACGAGCCTCTGCAATATGAATCATTATATTTCAAACATACTGAGTTTATATACCAATCAAACAGATCACAACGTACCATAAAATAGAAAATAACATTTGTACAAAATTTGGCCAAATGTGGCTGTGAATATGGGAGGCAGTGACTAATTGACAGGGCATAATTCAGGAATGGTAAAACGTATAATAATGGTTCACAGGTCAAAATAAAGTTTATAATAAGAGGAAAATGCATATGAATAGCTTAGTTATCCAACAATTATAAGATAAAAATATACGTTTAGTATTGGTCCATAAAAAGATCCCAAAGTTACCATTTATTATGTTTATGAGGACCTAACAAAACCGTTAGATAACTTTGTGATACAACTAAAAAACTAGCAGGCAACTATACTAAAACAGAAAAATCTATCATGGAGAAAATATTTAGGACAATTACTTAGGTGCAAGAGCTGTTGAGAAAGCTTTAGGGCACTTTAAAGAACTCCTGAATAAGCCAGCACCACTGAACCCAACTGACATCGAAGCAGCACTCTTAAACCTTCCTATAGATGCCACTATATCAACGGTCAAAGAGATCAGGATGGTCATCAGACAAATCAAGTTTGGGAAAGTATCAGGACCCGACAATATAATAGCTGAATCACGGACTTGGGACATGGAAGTAACTGTAATGTTTAACATGCGAAGGGTTGCATAGAATAACGGTTAACGATAGACTTGGATGAAGAATACCTCATCAAGATACCAAAGAACTAATAAAATGTGAGGACTACAGATGCATCGCATTACTATCGTTACCAGGAAGCGTTTTCAATAGAGTTTTCGGACAATTTTGAAGACTCAACTGACACTTGAATTTGAGGTCAACAAGCCGGATCTCGTAGTGATCGTTCATGCACGGACCAAATTGAGTTACTATGGGACATCGTTTAACAGTCAATTGAATATCATTTGTCACCATCCATCAAATTCCTTGGTTAGGAGAAGGCGTTCGACGCTATGGTCTACTTGAGATGGTCACGAACGTCATAAGGAATTCTCACGATGAACGTCTTTGCAATGCCATGCATGGAAGACAACAGATAGAAGCATTCTAAATGAAGATTTGTTGCGAATAAGGCTGCTTACTATGGTATTTATAAACAGTTTTCTACGCTATATAGTCAATGTCTATTGGCCGAATACCATCATTAATATCCAGTTGTGGCTCCCAGCTCAAGGTACTCTTGGTACAGAACATTTAAACAAATGATACAACGGTCGAATACATCATATTGGGCTATTCCTAACAGAGCATTGTGCATTTAGAGGGGACCTAATCATAGCAAAGTGCTCGTGACAAAGTTATTGGATTTTGACTGTCCACATTCAACTCGAATCCAGTTTAGAGCTCACTATGACAAAAACACTAACGAGTTCATAGATTACTGAATTTTAAACCCTTCTTAAAACAACAACAACAACCGATATGGTTTCTAAAATTTTAGATATTAATAAGGGACATTTTCTATGGCTGTACATTTGGAGAGTGTGAGCAGTTTAAGTTCCCAGATTACACCCCATTAGAATTAAAGATGCTACAAGTATTCGGAGTATGACAACAAATTTACCCAAAACACCTTTATAATAGAAGTATGCCAAGCCAGTTAAATCAGGAGTCATAAATGAATGAGTTCCAATATATATTTGGAAGGCTATAAGTTTGTCGAGGGACGTTTGTTCTAAGCTGACCAACAGTTGGAGGTGTAAGATCCATTTTGAATGTGTTTGTGTGTTTGTGAAAATCCCTCCATGTATATACTTGCACCTTGTTCCTATTGATCCTCTTAGTTGTACATTGTTAACCTTTTGACTATATTTGAAATGTTAATATTTGTATTTTATTATAGTTTTCGTTTTTACTACACCTTCACTAATTTCACGTGTTTCTTCCCGAACTGCACTTATGTTGTTTTACTTTATGCTAAGTCTGGGCGGCAGCCATTTTGGTTTGTTCTTGCTTTTGATTGCTTGACCTGTGTTGACTGGAATTGTGCATTTTGGTTGTGAATTGAAGCACTCTTTCAGTATTGAAAACACTGTGTTATAGAGCGACCAATTATTAGCTTTTGAACGAATCTGTACGTGATCTATCCAGACAGGATAGAATAACATTTATTTGTGGTGACTGTTTAGATTTGATCAATTGAACAATTACTGGTTGGATAGCTGAGTGGTTATATTTGTTTAGAACTGTAAAATTCAAACCGTAGTTTGGATCTTACAGGAGGTAATGTATAGCACGATGTACCCACTAGTGATGTGGTGAGGATGAGTGACCTAGCACCTTCAGATAGATGTGTCCACTAAAATTATTGAGATCATCATCAAGTGTTGAGGCTTTTCTCACCTGAATTTCACTTTATCTCAGGCCATGGAATGTTCTAGTGGGGTCCTCAAGGGCTCAGTACTAGGACCTCTTCTCTTCTTGATCTACATAAATGATCTTCCTCAGCAGGTAACGTCTGGCTTATTACTTTTTCCGATGACGTGATACTTTGGAGAGAGATACGCAACCAAGACGATATACAGGCATTGCAGAAGGATCTGATTCGACATCAAAGTTGGGCAGGTGACAACGGACTAAACTTGAACACTTGAAAGTGTATAGTAGTCAATATGGGACATGTTGCAGACTACAGTTACAACTTAAGTAGCTCCTCTCTAGAAGTATCCCAAGTTGAAGAAGATTTAATTTCCTGTTACCCTACGAGTTGAAGTCTTACGCTAACTATGACAAAAATGCCCTTCGAGCAAACCATGCTCTGGTAACATTGAAGCGTATTTTTGGCCAGTTTGACGGAAGAACATTCCACATAATCTTCAACAGCTTCATTCGTCCCAATTTAGAGTACGGAAACATAGTATTTTCTCCTACACTCCAAAAATATAATGATACTCTGGAGCGTCTCCAACGGCGAGCCATGAAATCAGTTCGGGGACTCAAATTCAAGCCTTATGAAGAGCGCTTTCAATCACTCGCTAGAGTATAGACGTCTTGTGGGTGATCTTCTAATGGCCTACAGTACCCTTAACAGTTCTGGACATCTCTTTGAACACCCACTCAAGTTGAGCCCCAACAAAAACCTAAGGAGTAACACCCAGGAACTGGAGACACAACATGGCGGAATGGACTGTGGACACAACTTCTACTCCTTAAGAGTTGTCAAATGCTGGGATTCGCTGCATGCCGAGCTAGTTCAAGCGACTTCCCAGGAGTCCTTTAAGAGGCAACTTGATCTATTATTAAGTATTAAAAATAGTATAACACTATGACTTAGGAATTTCTTTTTCCCCTTTTATTGTTAACATACCTAGGTCCCTGCCTGGAGGTTTCGGTGATCCACTGCTCCCAGATACGGAAGCCTGTTGAACGAAAGCTTCTTATATTCCATCCACGACCATTTGAACCATCTGAATGTAAGTGATTTCGGCATTTGACATTTCGCTGTTAAAACCGATAGCGGTAATTCGTTTGGTGACGCTACTCCCGCATTTAGCGTATATGGAATGCAGACCTCCTTTTGTTTATTTTGTGCGTTGTTTTTCATATTTGGTGACATTCATGGGGACGAGCTCCCTAAAGGAGTTCCGCTATCGAGTAGATAAACTTTTCTCTGGTTAATTCTTTTCAGGATCTTCGTTTTATAAAGTTGGGCAGTCGTTTACTTGCCTAGATGGCTCTTCAGCTATACCATGGTGGCAAGTGAACGACGATTACTGTGATTGCCGCGATGGATCAGATGAACCCGGCACATCTGCTTGTCTTAATGGTCGTTTTTTCTGTCGTGATATGCAGTACAGACCTGTGTACCTTCCTTCTGCTTACGTCAACGACTCTATTTGTGGTAAGTTATTTACACGAATTGTGATTTTATTACGTGACCTTCTGGTGTTAAGGTTCTTGCGATGTCATTTTGTTAACTGAATTTACGAGCGTCTGTTCAAGGGCTTTCGTTAATTTTATTGCACATCTTATAAACTGATGAAAGTCTATTATAGAAATCTGTTTCTTAAAATTAGTCGATACTTCATCCTGTTATACTCTAAATACGATGCTAAGTAGAACGGAGTCATATGTAGACTGACAAGTGTAAGTTATATGGGGTAAGAACTTCGTACGTACGAAGTTTTTCGTTGTTAATGACTGACCGATATAGTGTAAGAAAATGAATAGAAAAGTCAAGTCACAATAGGTGGCTGTTCATATTCTCCAGAATCCTGACTGTCGTCTATACCGTTTTATTAAAGAGCAAAGCCTGGGTCTGTCATTAAACTGGCAAACTGATAAGTTTCTCTTTGAACGTAAAACACTTCTCATGTGTCGAGTCTGTGGCACCTGTCAAGCCTGCCTGACCACTTAAAGTGGATTTGTTGGGAAAGTGTACTTTCTTTGTGTTAAGGATCTTGTCATCCCTGATAATTTTGTAGTGAAAAGGCTAGTGGGATAGAAGACAAAGGTAGCGTGAAGATATCTGGCTTATTAGTAAATGTCGATTTGACTATTCAGTCGTTCTCTAATGACAGTTTTCTCTGATAACTAGAAAATTCCCCCTGAAGATGAGGGAAATCCATACGTTAGAAGTACTGGATGACAAATATTCGATGTATCGCTGGAGTACGGTAAAGCTATTTAATAAACAATCTTGTGATTAGATGCATCATACTTCATAGAGAGAAAATCAGTTGATGAGGCTATGGATCTTCATCGATCCTGGTGATTAAAATATATACTACTGAAACATGGCGGCTGTTTTCCATGACTTGTAGTGTTGTCTAGCCAAGTAGCCCGTTGGAAGAATGCTAGAAAGTACCAAATCAAGATGCGTCATCTGTCCATGAAGTCATTGACTTTTGGTTTGGATTGTATTAGTAGGTGCTAACTAGCTAGTTGGTTTGTAGTATTCAACACAAAAACATGAACTTACTGTTTGCATTATTGGTTAACATGGGAAATGAATATGGACCTGATTTTTAATTCTAACTATAAATGGTTGGCATTCTTATTGATTTGTCTAAGACTTAGTGTTTGGATTTGAATAATCTTTCAAAGTCATATTTCGTTTTGATCATCAGGTGGTACATCTACAGTGTCTAATATCAACGAGCATAATAGGTTCAGTGAATTCTTTCCGGCAATCGCACATTACGTAAACTAGAATTCAGTTTTGTGTAATTTATTTAACGAGATAGCGTTTACTCAATTTATAGATAAAGCACTTCTAATTTTTAGATTGTTGCGATGGTGGTGATGAATACGGAAGTTCTACCAATTGTCCGTCAACTTGTGGGTAAGTCCTTTTGCTTGTGATTTATTGAGTCACGTGATAATCTCAATAAACGTTATCTCGTCTATCGTGATAAATGAAGGTAGTATCACAGCTTTTAACGTAGCTAGAAATATCTATTAACACGTCAAAGAGAAAGTTGTTCGACAGAGAGATCTCTATTTGAAAATTCTGTACCCAAATCTTCACGAGATTTTCAAAAACCCCATAAAGTGTTATTTACATCGAAAATGAAATTAGTTCTGCCATACTGTATCGTCTGATTACGTGGTCATTGTGATATTCACTTCTCACTGCATTTGTGTCTACCGGGTCAGATGTTTGGTAGACCATTGTAAGTCACTCCTTTGGAATAAATATATAAATAATTGAGTCAAATGAACACAAATTTAAATTGTAAACAGGAACACAGGAGAATATTTATTTCAGTAGAGGTCTAAATAGGTCTAACTATGTCACCGTCGTGTGAAATGTTTGATCGAAGGGATTCTGTATGAGATATCACTGTGTGCATTTGTATATACAATGTTTGGTATGAAAAATGTGAGATTTGTAATATGAAGGATTGTGTGTGCATGTATGTTAATTGTTTGAGAAATGACGAGTCAAATGTAGTTGTTTGGATAAATAGTCGGATGAATTTCAGACCTTTTCTATTGAGGGGAGGGGGATTTAGTATTTGTATGCAACGCTTCGAGTACTCATCTATTTTTATAATTGGTAAGACCTTTCTGAATTATTGTGGTATTTTTAATGTTGATTTAGTGGTCATTGAAAATAGTGTTTTGTTGTAGTAGTTAATTCACTGTTATTTTGCATACGAGTGAGCTGCTCAGCTGATTACCATCGAAACTGGTTGATATATTATTGGTTTGTAGTGGACACAAATTCTATCTTCTTTGATTTCTCTCAGTGAATCTTTCTCAACATGGTAGTTTTCTGGAATGACTGGAGATAGAAGATAAATATAACTGTCGTATACGTTATGGAAATTGTTGTTAGAGTCATCGTCGCTTATCCCACCTAGTGACAAAATGCACACGGAACTATTGTGTCGTGAAATTCTTCGATATTTATTCAGAATTTCACTTTAACTACAATCGGTCTGAGTCGACAAAGTTTTATACGTGGAGGGATTTTGTCAGTGGGCAACCTTTCAAGTATGAGACTCAAAATATATTGTGTGGTTGACTCCCCTAACTGATTCACTGCCTAGTGTCAATTTAAATAATGACAGATTGGTTTTAAAGCAAAATGCTGCATTTGTACACCTATAAATCCATTTCAAAAATCTAATATTGTCCCACTTAGGGTGCTCACAATGTGACCTTCATTGTACGTTAAAGTAGTTTATTGATTCTCTCCAATACAGTAAATGATTGGAGTCTGGTCTGTCTTTATTCATCTTTAATTTAGTATCAATGATTTTTAACTCTGTTCGGTTCTCTGATTAAGTCGAATTATCTTGACTTTAAGAGAGATCATTCTAATTTTATTTATTTTTCACTGAAAGTAATAGGAATTTTGTTCGAAGTCATTTGTGATAAATTCTCTATATTGTCTTTTATGTGATATGTTAAAAATGTCTTTATAATAAGTTTTGATTTATATCACAACTTATATATCACTTGATATTAGTTTAAGACTGGGTGAAGTACTCGGAGACCTTTCGTTTATTGTTGTCGTTCACTCATTAGTTGCTATTACAAGACAACTTTATAGTTCTTTTTAAGCAAAGATAGATAGTGGCTAGCAGTGGAATCCAGTTTAACGCGCGTTCCATCCTATTTGGGACTCATCAGCTGAATTTACCTGCATCCCAGAGTTGATCTTCTCTCCGGGACTCAAACCTGGCACTGTCCGCTTCAAACGTCACCGCGTTATCCACATAGCTACTGAGTCGTGATAGCCACCTCACACGGCCACGCGTATACAGCCTCTATACGCGTGGCCATGTGAGAGCATTTCGAGAGGGAGAGCGGACTCTCCCCACTCTCGGCCGTACCAGGGCATTGATTAAAATCAATGTATTATGAAGTTAAACTGTTATAGAATGTAAACTAAATGATATTAAGAATTTAATTGAATATGTAATGATCACAATTTGTGTATATAACCATAATATACAGATTATAGGTCTGTTTTCTAATCTCTCTCTGTCTTTTCATTATGTATGTAAACAGCAATCATTTAGGTTTAACATAGGTAATCGATATATAGACATGCTTTTTTTTCACTGTTTGCTTATTTCTATCCTTTTTGTATGCATGTGTATACTTAGCTCTTTGGCTGCATCTTTGCGTGAAGCACAATCTATTAAACGAAATCAAATTGAACAGGGACATAAAATTTTTCAAGAATACGTCACAAACGTAAGTTTTTTTAAAATTTTATTTATTTACTTATTTAAACACATAAATATTGGTACAAGGAGGCACCAAATATATATGTGCCACACAAATCATTCGATTTGTGTGAGGGTTGGGATACTGCCCGGATGCTCAAACTGAAGTAGATATTTTTCTTGGAGTGGTCACTCTCCGAGCCTTTGACTTAGAGGTATGATCCATAAAGCGATGGAACAACGTAAGGAGATGCAGTCTCATTGTAGCTGGTGACCAAAAATGGGTTCATATGCCGTTATCCTTATTAATTCTCGATGGTTGAGCTCACCTGTCTTTATCACTTGTTAGTGGGATTCCAAAATGGTTGGGTTGATGATGATAAGGTTCCGGTTTAAAGACGAATGTGTGCTACTGACTACTGGATATGGAGGGAATCAGATGCTTCCTACGATTTGTTATCATGAACAATGCCGTCTTCTAACATGCAAAGAGAGGTTTTAAAAATTATCAGCCTTAAAAATAACACAATATACCTTGTTTCATTTAATTTCAACCTCATCTATAAGACTCAAAGACCACCGGGTTAACTCAAGCAAACCTACTTACAAAAAAGGGCTTTTTTTAACCAGCTTCAAATATCTGTCCCTTGTGTTATTTCGTCACTCTCCAAGGTTGGTAGAGCCCTCCTTAATAATGCCGCTTCTTTTTGATGTTCCTCAAGAAGTGTCATTCCACAGTGTGAGCTACTGAAACCTATAGATCACTGTCTCACAGCTAACTGTACATCTTTTTAATTCCATGTTGATAAATAATTTACCATTATTTAACTAATCACTTAAATAATGTCTATTGTGTACGTGTATTTGTTTGCGTAAAAGTCAACAGTACTTGTTGTGTATTGGTTTTTTGTTTATCACAATCCTAAATTCACATGCTTTAAACGATGTATTTTGCCCTTAATCTGGCCATTTTTCGGATTATTAATTTGGATATATAATTGTAGAACCTGAAGAGAATATATAGAAAAGAATATTCGTTCAAATAGTAGTCTTTTAATATGACGGGGATCTTTAAACGATTAAAATGTTGTGTATCCGTTTAAAGTTCAATGAAGAACGAGAGTGGAAGACCGAAAACTTCAACTTTTCGTCGATTCTTTTTTTACTCCATCTAAAATGCATAGTTTATGTAATTTATGTATCTTTTTTTAGACTTAATTTCTTTTTTCCGATTTATATTTTTATGATTACAAGTTAAAAGAACGTAAAGCAAAAGGACTTTTTAATGAAGATAAACAGTATGATGAAACACTGAAACTTGCGGAATATGATGTCAATAGTGATAGTAGTAGTAGTAGTAGTAGTAGTAGTAGTAATGATAATAATGATAATGACAATGAAGGAAGTATTCAAACAAATGAAGAAAATGTTGATTCTCATTCATCGGTTGGTGAAGAGAAACAAGCACTGAATGAACCGTCATCATCGTCAATTGATTCGAATCAACAGTCGTTTACACATGATAATGACAATACACTTATCGAACATGAAGCATCTTCATTAAGTGATACGGAGTCTCATGAGAAAAAAGGAAGTGAATACGATGGGCATCATGTTGGTGATCAAGACAGTCATATGGATTATGACGAATCAAATGTTGCTTTTACTGATAAACAACTCGACGACGAATCACATCATGGTACGGATGAATGTATTGATAATGATTTTTCTCTATTTTGAATTAAAATTAATATTTAGTGTGGATATCATATACAGTTACAATCGGTGTCTAAAAACTTTGAGCTATATTGACTTGGCTTTCGCTAATATTCAATTACTTTTGATATTGACATGTACACCTTGTAATTTTCTATGTATGATGTCACATCGTCAGCTATTTATTCTATGTTATTCTGCGAGTTTCGAGTTATAAGTGAACCATACAATAAAGGTTTTATCTGTTAGCTATGTACGTGGTCCATCTGGTTCCCTTACACTAGAGGGGAAAGTTGTATCTTGAACTACTAGACAATAAAATACGATCGTTAAATGATTGGCTAGACTGGTTATTGGTTCTAAAGACAGTAGGTGAACTGGTCAACAACGGACTCTATACAACAACTGTTATTATAATGAGTAATCCAATCACAGGGCTAGCGAAATGGAGATAAGTAGTTTATGCTATTTGAAGCCACGATAAAAGATGACTAAGGCAAAATTAACTGTGAGACCTGGCTTTTTCTATTTTATAGGTATTTTAACTATATTTCCAAGCATTAACTCTGCTCGGCTAACGTGATTTTCTGTTGGAGGATTGAATGCTTTTGTGTAGACTATTATGAACTATTGGATTATTATCTCTCCTTCCACTCATCGAGTAAGTAACACAGTTGTTAGGAAACGGGTACTAGGTAAGGATGGCAAATCAATTGATGAAGTAGTGAAACTTCATCAGTTGAGATGGCTGGGACACGTGTTACGTATGCCCAACGACCGACTGCCTCGACGTGCTATGTTCAGTGGTATAGGAGTAGGTTGGAAGAAAGCTAGGGGCGGCCAAACCTAAACATGGCACAAGTCCATGAAGTCACTGACAAGTGGACTGAGTCATGTTGGTAGGTGTAGACTACCTGGTTGGGGACCGCGAGATGATAGCAACCGATGGTTAGAGACCCTGAATGACATGGCTCAAAATCGTTTGCAATGGCGCAGGTGCATCTACTCTCTGTGTTCTCCCAAATTCTAATCTGAATTCTTAATGTCCCTTTTTTTCCTCTTTCCAAATTTATTTCACTGGATTATACTCTTTAAATAACATCTCCAAACCCTAATCTTCCCGATTACTGCTTATACTCTTATTACCTCTACCACTATGGGATTTGAATCGACAACTGCATCTCTGTGCTAATGTGGTGTGGCAGCTCGAACTGATGTACGTACGTACGAAGTTCTACGTTGTTACTGACTGACTGACTCTCCTTCCACTCTGCTTTTATTAGTGCTCTATTAAATATATCAATAAGTCTTTCAACTTGACTGTTTGATTGTAGTTGATAGGGAAGAGTCTGGATATTTTCGGTGACATTTAAAATGAAAAATTTCGAATGTTCTAAAGATGTGATGTGCGGTCTAGTGTCTTATTCCGTATCTACCTAGCAACCTACACGGGTATTATTGTATATGAACAATACTTTGAAAATATTTATGATAATACACCAGCAACTCATGGATGTTATAGAACTTCAACACCTGTGTTTCACATCCGTGAATTATTAACAGAGCATGTTCCTGGGCTAGTATGCTGGTCGTTTGGTAGACAGATGAAGATTTTGACTTCCTGTTATCTTAACACTACAATTTTACCAATTAGTAACAGTTTCTGTAATTATTATTTATGTGACTATGTTTTTTGTCTGATTTTCAATCTTTCCCTGTTTATATTTTTTTCTCAAGAAATCCCAGAAACCCCATCACCTGATGAAAAACCTGTTATTAAAGAGTAGGTTTCTCATAAATCATTCTTTTTCTTGTATGATTTTGTTTATATATTGAACATGTGTAAAATACCAGATCATTTAATGTTTATAGTAGACAAAATCTCGCTTGGTGGGATCGTGGATGCACACTGCTGAGGAGTTCCACAATAGGACGAAACGGGCGTCCAGTGCTTCCAGGTTTTCCATGGTGGTCTATCTTCAATTGAATCAATTGAACTCAACTATTGAAATCACTATGATATCCACAAAAAGTTCCGAAATTCTACTAATGCAATGTATTGAACAATATATATGAATTATTCTCTCTTGTTCATTGTATTTGATACTTGGAAATATATCTGTCTGTCACTTATCAACAGAATGTAGTTAAGATTACGTTTTGTAATGGTAAATACATATTGAATAATCAAATCAGTAATATAATGTACTTTTGAGACGAAATTTTTGATTGTAAACATAAATGGAAAGAATACGGATAGATTGACACGAAATTGAAAAATGGATGGCTACTCACTAGACCATGAACTCTTGATGTGAACCCTCGAATAATTTAAAGTCAAAGAGTAAATTCATTAGCCAGAATAATCGGTTTTGTATGCAATAAAATGATTTTTAAATGACTGATAGAAACCAGTATTTAGCTCATTCACTATCCAATCAATTATGACTCAATTATTAGACTTAAATCTTGTCTATGACATCATTTTGTTGTGCATAATAATATGTTATTTCAATCTGTTTACTACTTTTTTTTCACATTATAATGATCATTTTATTGAATTTCAATATTTCATTATGTGTTTAATTTAACAAACTTGATTGTTTATTGAAACGCGTAAACCTTGGTACAAGGCGGCACCAAACAGATATGCGTCACACAATACTCCCCGGATGCTCGAACCGAAGCAGACAGTTTTCTTAAAGGAGTCACTCCTCGAGCCTTTGATCTAGAGTCTTGATACACAGGGCAGTGGAGCAACGTCACGAGATGCAGTCTCATGGTAGCCAGTGACCAACGATTGGTTGATACACCATTTGTTCCCTCACGATCCTGGGGCCAGCCCATGTGCACCATTGGTTTGGAATCAGGGTTTTCTAACTCTCCTAGGTGAACCTTCCATATCCACCAACTCAGTTAATGCGCCAGACATTTACTTTTCGTCTTCTCAGTTTCGTGAACGACGATAAAGCAGTGAGTTGCACTTCTCTGGTAGTAGTTGTATGCACGTAACCATGTGAGAGCATTTCGAGAGGTAGAGCTGACTCTCCCCACTCTCGGCCATACCAGGGCATTTGGGGGCAGCCAATCACTATGATTATCGGACGCTAATTTTTGAGATCTCTAAATTAGCTAGTAAACATGACTACTATGTATGATTTTAAATCTTACTTTTATCTTGATAAATACTACAATAAGTAAATCTACTAAAGAGTTAATACTTATTACTTATTTCATTAGTTATTGAAATAACACAGAAGATAGGTAACACACAGATGGATGTATTCTTTGAGTTGAGTAGTGGGTTTACTTTCAATTATTTTATTGTCATTCTAAATAACATTATCAGAGTTTACCTCATATAGAATTAGACTTTCGAATTATTTCACAAGTGTTAAATCAACTTGTTCTGATGACACTTTCACTGATCACCCTTCAGGTTATGTCAGCTTCATTTGTCTTCGTATTTCTGTTGGTTGATTTCTAGCCAATGTGATATTGACCTTTTTTGATCTCTGTCATGATGTTTAATTTCAGATTGACCTGAATGTTATACTTCAAGAAATTCTTTGACATTCGTAAAATCTCTTCGATACTACATTTCGTCAGTTTCCCAATCAAGTTTGTGTCCGTGGTTGTCTTCATATGTTGACCTATGTTGTTCTGTTGGTACTTTAGACTCGTTTGTATAGGTGTGTAGATGAGGCATTCAGGTTGAGATGTCCACTTTATCACAGTTGGTACAATGTAGTTTTCTTTAGATATTATTGGATTTGTCTTGTTTTTCTGTTGACTGTTAGTTTGTATGAAAAATGGAATCGAGTGTATAGATTGAGTTGTGAGCACTTTTATTTCTGGAAGTTAAGCGAATAAGACAGTTAACAAAGAATTCAAAAGTAAATGAAACTGATAAAAAGTCCAAGGATAATCATTTACTCATGTGATTATCACAACAGGCTTATTTTATGCTTGTAGGATAATTGAATAACTCATTTCTACGTAAATTAATTGATGATGATCCGTAGAGTAAAAATAGAACATTCAGCTCGATAAATACAACACAGTCGGAGACATTCGTTTCTATTCAGATACACTCTATTAACATTTGTTAAAGACAGTAGAATACAATCGAACTTAATAGACCGATGCATGTTTTCGAATAGGTGTAAAATGATTAGGCTGACAAAATAATACTGTAGAGTGTTTACATATAATTATTTAAATCATAAAGTAATCTTATACCATAATTGAAAAAAAAACTGAGGACACTGAACAACCATTTCATCCTAGTATAGAACTCTCAAGCAGTGCTCATCCATGACTCCGCATCCGGTAATTGAATCCACAATTTACAATCTCACATGCAAACACTTGATCTCTACCCATTAACACTATCGGACACCGACTCAACGGTCACCATTATTTTCACCTCATTCTCACTTGTACTTATTATATTGTTGTTATGTTAATGTGACTTGGCAACTTGGATCAACTTACATCTTTTCCAAGTTCAACGTTAATGATAACAACTGACTGTCTAATTGATCATATTTCACACAATTGAATCTTCTAATTATTATCTCTATTATACCTTTTAGGTTTATAATATATTCTTACTTTATATCAGTATTCTTTAAAGCTCTAATTATAAAGGTGTTCATTTGAATCAATGTAATGATTATCTATCTATATTAAAGACATCAGAATTCATTCGGAATTAGTTTCATAGTAACTCATAATCAATCATCATTACCTTTATTCATACTTTCTAATTAATTATTATTGAATTTAAACAAAATTAAATCTGTTTTAATTAGGTCATAATTAAGATCTTAATTTTATTTACATCATATAAGATCTAAACCTTTATAGCATAATAATGGTGCATGATACATACTAGTTTTTTAGACAGAATTATTTCAATCTGAATGTTTGGTCGTGGAGTTTTATCGTTCTTCTGAACGACATCATCAGCACAAACTTCATATAGAAGTGTGAAGTGTTCGAATTTCTCCATATGTGTTTCACAGCTTGTTCTGTACTGAGCTACAAATCTTCTCCACCATTTCAATTCAATCACGAGCCTTCCATCTGGCCCCACAGCTTTGCCGCCAAATGCCCTGGTACGGACGAGGGTGGGGAGAGTCAGCCCTCCCTCTCGAAATACTCTCACATGGCTATGTGGCGCTTTACTCACGTTGGTGGATACGGAGAGTTTACTTAGGGGAGTTGGAAAACCCTGAGTTCAAACCAATGGTGCACATAGGCTTCAGGATCCTGAAGGAACAAATGGCATATGAACCTATTGTTGGTCACCTGCTACTATGAGACTGCATCTCGTGGCGTTGCTCCATTGCCTTGTGGATTAGACCTTTAGGTCAAAGGCTTCGGGTGTAGCCTCATAAGAAAACCACCTGCTTGGGTTTGAGCATCTGGGCAGTATTGTAACCCTCACATAAATTGGATAATTTATGTGGCGTATATCTATTTGGTGCCTTATTGTACCAATGTTTATGTGTTTCAATAAAGAATCCACCAAGGTCAACAAATAAGTTACGCATTTTCAAGTTAACTAGACAAGCGAGAAACTTGTAATTTGATTAATAGAATTCAATAAATAGCAGTCAGGATTAAACTAACATAAAATTAACTTCTTATTATTGGTAAATTCGTATTTATATCTCTCCTATATGAGATTAGTAACAGCCCAAATAACTCAATATTAACAATTTAAATTGTAGTATGGACTCGATTTTCAGTCCATCTTAGAGACGAGTGCTGATTGGCATGAAACGTCTGTCAAGAGTTTTCTATTGGTTGCTTCCTGTTATGTCCTAAAACCAACCAATATGCGTTGATGACCTTAAACAACCAATGTGGTTGGAAAATGCTATAGCAACAAATTACGGTTTAAACAGAAGCTTAGGACTAGGGTAATAATTAAGTAGAAAAACCCAGAATACTCAGTAAAAATACAATTAATATATATATAAATAAAGTTGTAAAAAATTAACTTCGCAAGTTTTTACCTCACCTTATTAAATCGTCTCTTATAATACATTTCATCAGCTGACATATTCACTTTTATCTTTATAGTTCAAAAACATTCGATTATAAATTCTTATTTTCAGAATGGGGGTTTGTAGAAATTGTAGTGATTTTAACGGTTGAATTCATGAGTCGGTCTAAGTTGGGCCACGATTGAAAAGCTAGAAGTACTGGATGGATGATCCTTTCTAGTATGAAACTTCTCAGCAGTGCACATCCACGATCCCTCACGCGGGACTCGAACCCAGGACGTTCGGTTTCTCTTGGGAACACTTAACCTCTAGACCACTGAGCTGGCATCCTACGATGTTAATATCTAACTTTATTCGATTCATGATCTTGCATAAACGTTCTTATTTTGTTCCTCCTAGAATTTAAACAGAGGAAACTGCTCTTATGTATTCATTTCTACAAAATAATTATATACCAATGAAATCGTCTTGTGTTACTTCAAAATCATGAATCATCTAGTTGTACACCAGTTTACTCCTTTACTAAATGGGCTGGAAAATTTAACTTTCTTTTCAGTTATAAAGTTTTGTGCCAGAATATCACGTAAATAAATGACTAATTACACATACAAATTCTTCTGTTATCTTCAAATTGAGCTGAATCATCGAAACAGACGAACTTTTGATTGGATACAACATCTAATAGTTTAATGAAAATTTAGACATAATCACCAATGGAATTATATAACTCATCAGGTACAAATTTAAATCGATTATCTCTAGAGTCCATTGGTTTTTTTTTGGAAAAATCGTATTTTCGTCTACGTTTCTGTATCCATCATGTGATTAGTTGGATTTAAAAATCCTTATGTACCCCCGAATGCCCTGGTGCGGCCAAGAGTGGGGAGAGTCAGCCCTCACTCCCAAAATCCTCTCACATGGACACGCGTATACAGCCACTGCCAGAGAAGTCCTACTCACTGCCTTCTCGTGGCAATGGTATTGTTTACGAAATTGAGAGGACGAAAAGCGAATGTCCGGTGCTTTACCCGCGTTGGTGGGTATGGAGAGTCCACCTAGGGGATTCGGAAAACCCTAATTTAAAACCAATGGTGCACATGGACTCCCGTATCCTGAGGTAACAAATGGCGTATGAACCAGTCGTTGGTCACCGGCTATCATGGGACTGTATCTCCTGATATATCTGTAATTAATTGTAATTAAGGAACTGTTATTGATAAACGGCAGACGATTAATGAATTAAAAGCTAGCTAACAATTAGTCTCATATAAATTTACTATAAGATAACCATTTGATAAATACTCACCAAAGTGTGACTACTCAAGGCTAATGTTTCTCCTTCCGCATGGTATGGGTTACGCATGTTTGTTTATTGTTGACAGTCTCTACATCATGAAAGTTATTCTCTCAGTAGACATAGGGAATTTTTACTGCCTCAAAAATAACGTAAACGGAAAATTATACATTTTGTTCTATTAATCGAATGTGTCTGATTGATTCAAGTTTTACTCTCTGTCCATAAATATATACATTGTTTACTTCCTTTTATACTTTTTACAGTATACCAACGCCTATTCCTATCGATTATGGACCAGAAGAAGGTTTTCGTATGCTTACTGAATTACCAAATGGTTGTTTAGAGTTGAACGATCGAGAATACACATACAGCCTTTGTCCTTTTAAATCAGTTCATCAAAAATCAATTGGTTCATCGAATTCTGATCCAGGAACATGTATAGGCCGATGGGGTCGTTGGTTAGAATCTGATGAGTATGAAAAGTCTTATAAAGTTATGTATTACGAAAATGGTCAACAGTGTTGGAATGGACCAACAAGAACTACCAAGGTATGCTTTCGAAATGTTTTAATTTCTAATTTACTTTTGTTTTGGTTGCTTAAATCTTCCTGTTGATGTTTATGACTGTAATTAATCAGTATTTAGCTGGACTCAGTAGCTAAATGCATAACGTGATGGCGTTTGGTGCGAACGGTGCTGGGTTCGAGTCCAATGGTGAACATCAACTCACTCCAGGTCCATACAGTTGAAGAGTCAAGTAGGACAGAACGCGTGTCCTAGATTCCAATGCTAATCACTATTCATCTCTGCTTACGATATTTTAATTTCTGTTTGTGAATGAAATTGTTTTGTATTCGCAGTCCTTATTCATGGAGTTATTTTGATGATGCAGTCATCTTACTCTATATGCCAAATTATTTCTGTATAATTTGTGTATCTCTATAACTGTGGGGACAATTATTAAGCTGTTTGTCCGATTCCCTCTTCACCTTCTTCGGTTTGGGCAAGTTCATTCATACCACTAACCTTTACATCTGAAATATAGCTTAAATCTGTTTTCAATTTTCTAAATAAGAACATATCTTTAAATTGTATGAGCCCAGTACCAGCTGACGATAAACAGAAAGCGGCACCTTATGGGCTTCTAATATATACGGTAATCGGAAAATTGCTTTCTTCACTTCAACAAAAAGAAATAAACTCACCTGAATGTGTAGTCTGTAGATTAACCATTTGAAAGCTTGGAGACAATGTGATTTACTAAAGGATCCATTGAAAGAAGAAAGATAGGGTAATGTTCGTTTCGCGAATGCCAATTATATACTGGCAGAACATGATATTTCAAATACTAGTATTTTATGTTAATCAGGGAAGGATTTTCTTCGAGTAATTAATTCATTATTTCTGTATTTGACCTTTAAATCGGTAATACATTTGTTACAACTGAGGTGGTTAGAACATGGATTACTCATGCCCAAACACCACCGACTTCGATGAGAGCTGATAGCTAGTATAGGAGTAGGTTGGACAAAAAATAGTGGTGAACAGATCAAACTTTATATCAGTCAATCAAGTCATTGATAGCTTGACTGAACTGTGTTGGTGAGTCCAAAGTACATGGTTGAAGTTCGCACGATTATCTTATCCAGTAGTTAGAGACTGGTTAACATAGTTCAAAATCGTTTCAGTAGCCCAGATACATCAACACTTTGTTTTCCCGTACATCTAGAGTTTTAAAGTTATCTTGTACTTTTTATTTCACGAATTTGTTCTTTCTTGCGCGACTTGGGTATCATCGCACAGTAAGACAATATCATCCGTAAACTCAAGGTCGACAAGTCTTTCGCCAGACAACAGATCCACACCACCATTACCTACAGCACGTAAATGACTGTTGATGGGGATCCGGTCGATTTGTGTTGTTTCATCTCTGGTGCTCAGTGTGGTATGAACGCCAACAAAACCAGACGAAGATATCACAGGGTCCTGGAATAAATGCATATGAAACTAATTTTTCGAATCGACAGATGAGAAGCGAATGTGTAGTAGTTCACTAGGTTTTTGAACACACGTTTCGAACATATAACAGACATCGATGTTGAGACTTTCTAAAGGCATATCCGAATCTATCTGTTGTCCGATCTGCATTAGCAAAGGAACGTTGAAGGAGGACAGTTTGTATGGTGTATGTGGTTTTTGAAAGACTGGTTCAGTATTAGTATTTGGTGGCGTGAGAAGGCAGTAAGACACCGAAATAAAATTATCAAAACGAATCCCATTGTAATAAAAACAGTTTTAGTATTAGTAATGGTAGTAGAATATCGTTAGTATAAAAGAAGTAATAAGCGGTATAAGAAGATTTTGGGATTCAAGAACCAAGGAAGGATAAGTAGAAAATGCGTTTGTGCCATTGCGAACGATTCACAGTCACTTCACTCCATTCATTTGCTACGATTATCGCATAGACCCTAACGTGATATTTCTTACCTATTTACATAGGTCAGTTTAGCTGTCAATGTCTAATGCTACTTTTTGGTTTGACCACCCTTAGCTTTCTACCAACCTACTTCCTACACCAAACGATATAACTTGTCTTAGCAGCTGGTGATTGAGCATACTTAGCACATGTCTCAACAACCTCAGTTAATGAAGATTCACTGCCTTATTAACTAATTTTCCATCTCTGTCTCAATGCATAACCTCAGGATTGTTAACTGAAAGGCGGACGTGATGCAAGTTGTAAAAGGTCAGCTGAGCCATGCTGATATTGTATGCTACCTTAGACTACCTTAGACATATATATCCAAGTTCTATATTGCTTATGGCTGATCGACTGACTTGTTCACATTCCTAGTGAAATGAAATGAAAATCAATGACTAGTTTTGTGGTTACATAATACTCATAACACAAATTTTACTAACTTAATACAGTTAAGAACGTAAATATATATTTCCACACCAAAAACCCGACACAATCCGACAACAATAAACAATCAGTAATAAGAATAGAAGAATATATAACTCATTTAGCACCTATCAGATTATCAGAATGGGTTTTGTGGAGTTTTAGAAATTTCACAGGTTGAAATCATGAGTCAGTTGAAGCTAGACAACCATTGAAAACCTGGAAGCACTGGACGGCCGTTTCGTCCTAGTACGGGACTCCTCAGCAGTGCGCATCCACGATCCCGCACCACGCGGGGCTCGAACCCAGGACCTGGTTAAGTGCTCGCGCGCGAAGCCCGTAGGTCCTGGGTTCGAGCCCCGCGTGGTGCGGGATCGTGGATGCGCACTGCTGAGGAGTCCCATACCAGGACGAAACGGCCGTCCAGTGCTTCCAGGTTTTCAATGGTGGTCTAGCTTCAACTGACTCATGATTTCAACCTATCAGATTATCTATATATCCGACTAAGCAAACAACTACTCATTATCATTCTCGCCCATACATCATTATGCTTCTATGAATTTGAAACATCATATGAGTTGAATGGTGTATAATTAATTTAGCTAATCGAAAATCGAAACATAAATCAAATGAGATTTGTGTGGCGCATATGTATCATCTGGTGCCCCCTTGCTTGAACAGTTCACTAGTAATATCTTAGACTGTGAAACCAATATACATAGGTTTGAATCTCCGCAGAGAACATCAATTATTCCTACAAGATTTCAAGCATGTTTCACTGACATGAATCAACCAATATAAGATTTAAATCCTAATTTCTTGCTTACTATCTCTAATTGCATAAAACATGACAAGAGTATTATGAATGATTTGAATGTACAAAATCCTACTTAGAAAAAAAAGAAGGATTACTGTACTATCGTTTAAACTTGTTAATATACATTCATGTAAACAATATTCACTTCTTGAAAATGAAATTCTAGGTATTTGTCCATTGTGGTGATTCAAATCATTTGACTTCAGTGAATGAACCATCTCGATGTGAATATGTTATGCAATTGATTACACCAGCTGCATGCAGTGAAGATCCTGATGAATTATTTAAGAAATTACATCCCGAATTGTAAATTTATTTGTGTGTATGTGTGTGTGTGTAATAATTTTTTCTATTCTATATCTACTCCTTTATACCTTTTTTTTCTGCTTAAAAATTGTTATCTCTTCTGAAGATTATGCACTATTCGAAAGTTAGTTGTTGGATGAAGTTTAGACAGGGATTTGTAAAGCTCATTTGAATTTCATCGAATTCTGATATTGGTAACCTATTGAAGATTATCTATCTGCTTATCGATTTGCGTGTATACGATTTACTTTGTTTCACTTTATTGCTTTGAAATGTGAATCTTACTTTTATAGGGTTATGTATTGTTTAACGAGAGATCTATTCGAACAATTGGTCATGTATGATAGGTAGGTTGTGTGTAAGGTATTAGGTAAAGGTTGTAAACTTTCATTAACTAAGATGGTCTACAGTTGCACAGTACGTTAGAACATTCAGCACTAAGCTCAATATTGTTTAGTGTAGAGAATATATTGGGAGGAAGACTAAGGAGGACTGAACTAATACGTTGCAGCATTTCAGGAAAATAGTAATTAAAACTCGATTTATTAGTTGATATAGTTCAGAATTGTTTACAGTAATGTAGGTATAATACTCTTTCGTTTTTTCAAATCTTTATTTTCTACATTATTCTCTTCTAAACCAGTTCATTTTGTATATTAACTTATACTACTTATTAATATTCAGTAACCTGTTTGTTCTTAATATCGATGAGTTTTCCACATGTGTTCTTCATTCCATTAAACCAATAAAATCCCTCCCATTCACTTTTGGCTTTTTCATTGAAGTAGCTGATTTGGGGCATGTTTAAAAGAAACTTGTATATCCGTAGTAGAATTCAACGAATGCAAATAATGACATTTTCATATCTTCATGAGGTTTCATGCAAAGTATCAATACATGTTTCACTACAATTATCAATGAATGAATTTGCATATTTATTTAAACGACATTCTTCTTATGATTAGTAGCATATGATTTAAAGTAGTAAGGCAGTTGATAAGTAGACTGTTGAGTCGGCTTCTGAGAACTACAACGGAGCTTCCAGAGGTCTTAATGCAACCGAAGAGTTTCCATCCAATCAGAACATGATGGAGCTTTTTAGAATATCAACGTGACATGCCACGATTGGACATTAGCATGATATGTCTCTTTGCGGATTGGCCGAATTATAATGTAGATTTAAAAAATGCTAATATTTATAAATACCCGTGATTTTCTGTACATTTCGATTCTTACCAAATAAACACTTCTCTAACTTTTCTTCTGATTTACGACGGTGAAGTTCCAGCGTCCGAGTGTCGTAGTCGTAAACCGTATTCGGCGTCAATCAAGTTGCAAACTTAACATAGACAATGTGAAGATCATTCTGACCAAATCGAATAAAAATACGAGATCACGTTTTTCTTTTAATTCTCTGTAACCGTTACTGAATATTACCTTTTTTTCTTAATTCAGTATGACAACTGCTCAGAATGGTATTGGTCTTCAGTGTAATAATTTGCTCAACATAAGATTGATGTCCTTTCCAGTGGGATTTCTATCCAATATGATATTCATTGAAACATGGATTATATTCAGCATGGGAATTTTGTTATAATTCTGGGCATTTTTCATACATGTGACCTTTATCCAATCAATAATTAAATGGATGCACAAATAATTACATAATTAAGTGTGTATCCTGCTAGAGTCGTCGTGTTTTGAAGTGAAGAAATCTTCATTTGCATTAGTCCTTTGTATTCTTACCTTCCGTCAGTGGAATAATAGTGATCTTGTATTTTTATCTCCTTTCATAAGCAAGTAAATTTTCCGTTTGGGGTTTACTCATAGGTTGATGGAAAATAAAAAGTCTAAAAACGACCGTGAGCAGTGGTGGGCAACGAAAGCAAAAGAGATGGAAAAGGCGGCGACTATAGGGAACACAAGACAGCTTTACAGACTAATAAAAGAAACTGGAATTAATAAGTCAAGTGTAAGTGAGATTATTTCGGAAAAAGATGATACTCTCATCTGCTCCCAGTCCAGGCGTTTAGAACGATGGGCGGAACATTTCAGAGAACAGTTCAGCTGGCCTTCAGCTACTCTACAACTACCCTCCATTCCCAGACAGTGTGAATGGAACATTGAAGTAGGTCCCCCAACTCTTGCTGAAGTTCAAAAGGCTATAGTTAATCTGAAACGAGGAATGGCAGCTGGTCCAGATGGATTGGCTCCAGAAGTCTTTAAGGATGGTGGTCCAATTTTAGCGATTAGGTTGACTAATATTTTAGCTAAGATCTGGGAGTTAGACGTTATTCCATCTAACTGGTCGCAATCACTTATCGTCCCAATATATAAGAAAGGGTCAAAATCATCCTGTGACAACCACAGAGGGATTAGTTTAACTAATATAATATCTAAAATACTAGCCTCGATAATTATCAGACGCCTAACTAAGACTCGTGAACTGCAAACACGAGAGAACCAAGCTGGCTTTAGACCTGGTCGTGGCTGCATCGACCACATATTCACCATTCGTCAGGTTCTAGAACACAGGCATACTTATCGGCGTCCGACGATGGTGGTCTTTCTCGACTTAAAAGCAGCATTTGACTCTGTAGACCGCGAGACTCTGTGGCAGTGTCTGTCATTGAAAGGCGTACCTCAGAAGTACATAAACCTTGTGAAGGCTCTTTACTCGAACACTACTAGTCGAGTCAGAGCTTATGGCGAACTGTCATCTACTTTTGCAACTTCAAGTGGTGTCCGTCAAGGCTGTCCACTTTCCCCATTTTTGTTTAACTTCATCATAGATCTACTGATGGAAATAACTTTCTCGTCGACTGAGTTCTCGGGTATTGACCTCCTACCAGGAGGTCCACTTATCGACTTAGAATACGCAGATGACATAGTCCTGTTTGGTGAAGACGCTGAAAAATGCAGAGTCTTCTGGTAGCACTAAGCAACAATGCCAGAATGTTTGGAATGCGCTTCTCTCCCTCTAAATGCAAGTTGTTGCTTCAGGACTGATCTGCGTCAACACCTGAACTAAGGATACGGAGTGAAGTAGTCGAACGCGTCGACAACTTCACATATCTTGGAAATCTGATCAGCCCTAATGGGCTGGTATCGGACGAAATCTCAGCACGGATTCGAAAAGCTCGTTTGGCTTTTGTCAACTCACGTCACCTATGACGAAGGCGAGATATCCGTCTATTAATAAAAGGACGAGTATACTGAGCGGCAGTCCGTTCTGTTTTAATTTACGGCAACGAAACATGGCCTTAAGAGTAGAAGAACCGTAAGCTAGTATTTGACCACAGATGCCTTAGAAATATTGCTGGCATCACCGGGTAAGTAATAGTGAGGTTAGACGCAGGGTATTAGGTAATGGTGGTAAATTATTTGATCAGGTTGTTAATCTTCATCGACTGAGATGGTTGGGCCACGTATTACGTATGCCTGAACACCGATTACCACGACGTGCAATGCTAACGAGTGTTAGAGATGGTTGGAAGAAAGTTAGGGGCGGCCAAACCAAAACGTGGCATCAGTGCTTGAAGTCACTAACTTCTAGTCTGAGCCATGTTGGTAGATGCAGACTACTTGGTTGGGGTCCGCGTGACTATCGTAACCAATGGTTGGAGACTCTTGGTGACATGGCTCAGAATCGATCACAATGGCGTCGGTGTATACACGCTCTGTCTTCCTTTAAACTATGAGATTGAAATCGCTTAATTCTTTCTTTCTACGAACGAATTCTTTCTTCCTGTACTGTATCCTTATGCAATCTTTCTTTTATATATTACCACCTTTGACCTAACCACTCCTATGAATCCGGTGTTCATCTTGTTGTGTTGATGCGGTATGGCAACCTGGATCGATGCATATATGTGCCTGGTCCTACGTTGTAGCTGACTGACTGACTGAAACCAGTTATTGATTTTATTTTTGATCCCGAAAATGGATTTACATGGATACGACAAATATGAAGATTTATTTGGACTGCAATTGGCTGATCTGAAAAGTGATATAAAAGTTCGTGCTGTCAGGAAGTTGGGAACAAATGAATATGTCGATTATGCGAATTTCATTTTGCTGGAATTGTCTAGAGACATTAATTTTCAAGATATAGTTATTATCCTTCTAAAGATTATTGTTAAACAATCATACCCATACAGCATTCGTTACAGTTGTTTAAAGGTATCCATTGATGATGGTAAAATGAACCGAGCATGGGAGCGTTTTAGTCTGTGTTCACTAACCCTAAACCAATTTAAATGTTTTATTTCTGCCTGTGTATCTTAGTCACCTTCCGATTCTGAAAGCTGTATTTTAGCACACGTAAATCAGGATGCATCCCTAACCCTCCGAGATATGACGGTGGATCACGAACGCATTTCAAGTTGTCATAAGTATGTACAATAACATGATTTCATGTAAATCTGTTAGACGATTGATATATTTTGCATGTTGATTATGTGAATTGAATGAGTGTGTATTAAAGATTATGTCTTGTACTTATTAGTAGATATTTTATTAAAATTAAGCTGAAATGAAATAAACCGAACTGGTTAAATCAATGCATGAAATCGATCTGAATATATGGTCAAATGGAAACTGATTGTAAACAGCTCAAATTCAGATTTCACTTAAACGTGATTCGGTAATAGGTTACAAGCAATAATTGATAATAACAAAGATTCATTCTGTTGGGGAGATCCCGAAGACTCCTCTAAAAAGCTAACAAAGTCTCTGAAAGCACTGAGAACCATCATGTCCAATCAACATTCAGTAGATGTTTTGCCAGGAATATCTAGAATGTGGAAAGTTACACTTCGAGTTTCTGATTGAATGATTACTTATACTGCTATTATGTTTAGTAGCGTTCCAGATTTTTCTGGAAATCCAAGGCCATCTAAAATACTATAAAAACCCTAGATTTTCTGTACATAAACGAACCTATGGAGTAAAGCGTTTCTTTCATATTTCCCGCCTTTTCTCTGGTGTTCAAGTCGCTGTGTAGATCTAGCCTGGGGTTTACTAGAAGAGCTTAGGAACCGAATCTAGCGTTTAGTTGGAAGACTTATCACATTTCTAACCGAATAAGTTGAGCTCTTAGTTGTTTTAATCAGTAGGTCGTAGGTTCGAATCTCTTATTTCTTACTTTAGTTTCAGCAGTTGATAGTAAGTTATACTAGGCATAATACAAACACAGTAACTCAAAGCTAAGTACGTTATACTACATTATTTACGTTTAATTATCATCGAACCTAGTTACAATCATTGTGATTTGCAGAGATTATTATCTGTTAGATATCGTTATTTACAGATAACTGATAAGGCGAAATAACCCCTTCTAAGTCCTAGTTACTGAAAATGTGTTATGTTCTTGACCTCTCTGTCCACTCGTATGTGCCTAATATGGTGGGAAAAAGTTGTCGCGATCTAGTTTAAGGCGCTGCAGTGACAATTTAATCTGTACAATCTTGAAACTTTTAACACTATCCCACCACTGACCTATAACAAGTTGGGTTTATAAGCGAAGAAGGAGAGAAGACGATTTAGCTGAAGCCGTTTTCCGACTTTTTTGTTCAAACTAACTTAAAAAGCCACATGAATAAATATATAACCGATACTGTAGTGAACAAGAACACTAATGGGAAGCAATCGAATGTATTCGTCACAAAATTACAGGACTTGCTAATAAAATCATATAGTAAATGCTTAATTTGCAAAATGTCCATCAGTTGTCCCAAAG